ATTTTCTTGACATTTTTGCGCCAGCAGGAGCGCGGGCGCGGACGTTAATCGCTCTCGTGAAATTCACTTTGCGCTCATCGCGCGACGTCTTTAAATTACATCAAAGAGAGACGGTCGATCTTATCGAGCCGCGACGCTTCAGCGGTCAGCGGTCGGTGCTCAGTTGTCGCGGAGTACAAATGCGAAGGGGCGAGCGTTGTTGCATCTCTCGCGCTGCTAAGAACAGCGGTTGAAATATATTAAATATACTCGGCACGGAAATATACCGAGATATTGCTCGCGACGGAGTAAAAAGCGCTTGGGAGTAAAAAGCAAACGGAAGGAAGCGCGAGGAAGAAAACGGTGACCGTCGTCGCTTCCGTCGCTGCAATTAAGACCAGGCTGTGAAATTTCTCGTAAAATATATTCAATTATCGATTCTTTTACTTGAGTACTTTTACACGTAGAACGACGGGAGGAATCGACTAATGTTCGAGGAACCGATGACGACGCTGCGATAAAATAGAAAATGTCGGCTAGCGCACGATGTCACTATAGCTATTGTTGAAATTCCGACGGTTAAACGTTGCAAGAAGACACTAAACGCTCATAATAAATGACGATATGCGTATTATTTACAGAGAATATTAATTATAGAGAAGACAGGCACGAGCGATAGCGCGCTTCGAGACAAAGCAAAGTAAGGAGATTGGCCTCGGAATGAGGTCGCATGTCTGAAAACATCGACTGAGCCATTAACTAAAGTGGATATTATAACAAAGTACACGGAAATTTACGCAAATCAAGTCGCGATGAAGTCACTAATAAACTTGTAACCAAGTCGCAGCGGTGACAGCTGAACTGGCTGTTTAGTGAACGTCAACGTGGGGAGATTAAAGTAAAAAACAAAAAGTTCAAAACGGACAAAGTACAGCCTAAACGCGGGCGACAAACACCTCGGCTCTTATGATTTGAATGGTAGTACAATTTAAATGGCTGAAAAGTGACGTCGACTTGCCAAAAAATGCATCATCAATCTGTTTGAATTTCTGCATGATTTTCAGCGAACGCGGAAGTGAAGAGATCAAAGTGAAAAATTAAAAATTAAAAACGGACACGGCACAGTCTGAACGCGAACAACGGACAACAGTCAGGCTCTTAAGATTTAAATGATACTTAACGAGTGACGTCAAAGTTTGCCAAAAGATACATCATCGACCTGTTGATCTCGACGGATCTCCGTGTCGTCGAGTCACGATCAATTTAGGAACTTTCAACTTGATCCTTCTACAGCATATTTATCATAAATTTTAAATATAATATGAATTAAAATCATTTTTAGAAATTATGTGGATTTAAAATAACCATTTCATTTTTAGTTCATATGCGCTATTTTTAACGTTTCAGTCCGCTGTGTGTTGAGTCAGTGTGCGCAAATTATCATTAACGCGTGATTTATGTGCACACACACTTAATTTGCTTGTCGCCAGACAGCTTTCGATTTCTTTTATATAGAATTTACCTTTGACGGGGATATTGTTCTGTTCCACACGAGCGAAAACTTTTCAAAAAGCGTTGCTCTGCTTCATACGAGCGGAAACTTCTTTTTTTTTCGCATTATATGCACATTTTTTTTTCCTACGACTTATCGGATTTTTGCAAATCAGCGGAAGATAATTCCCTTAATCTGCATTCCTGATAACTCGAATGCAAATCAATTTTTTAATTACTGCCGGAGCGCAGCAATTGTATCGGGTTATTGGGGCGAGAAGCGATCACGGCGATTCTTTCGTCCACATTTCACAATTACTTCGTTACTCGACGTAAAATATAATTAATATCCCGCCGTGTAACAACGAACGAACTAAACAAGCGACTACCGGACGCGGCTCGCTCTCGTCTATCTGTGCTCATTTATATGCGCACTTGTTAAGTGATAAACTGGGTGAATTAATGGTGTTTGCGGGTTCACGAGGGATGACGTAACGAAGATCGCTAGCCGAATATAGCGTCGGGCGGCGCTTTGCAAAAAGATTCAGCGCAGCCGACGCGCCCGCAGCGTTGTTAAATCGAGCGATTCCGCGGAAATCACGGAATCCTCGAATCGCGCGCGTCACGCCGGCCGGCCGCGTCTGTAATCCGCGGTTATCCGACGCGCTTCCGACCTTTTCGCGTAATCCGTGCAATTATGCTCGGATCTCCGCCGTCGGCGAATACCGAAAATTCCTCGCGGCTGGAAATGAGAGCACACAATGGAAAAGTTTAAGTGGCAAACCAACGACTCGTTAGCCGACGCGGAATGCGCAAACAGAAAGTACCGGCGAAGGCTTTTATTGAAAACGCTGGTTACCGTAATTGGATGTAAGCATCATTCACCGTATAACTTTATTCATACCCCGCTGAGAAAGTATTTAAATACGAGCCGGCAAGTGCGCGAAACTCGCGGCGCAGCGCGCTCACAATGGCGATCGGGCCTCCGCCCCTCCGTCCCTCCTCCCTCTGTGCGGCCAGCGACGAAAATAAAAATTCCACTTATCGGAATTAAGTGAGCGCTCAAAAGCGCGCGTTCGGATCTCCGCGAGCGAGAAAGCAAGAGGAACGTTCGTTCGCCCGTTCGCCGCTCGCAGGGGGGGATTCAATTTTTTCCCGGCGAGATGTAATATTTTAGAACACGTGTGCGGCGTACATACGTACGTACGTACGTCTCCTGAGGCGGCTGCGAATTCTCCAAGGATAATATTACGTGGGCCCGAAAATACGTGAAGCAGGTAGAAATAGTACGCTGCGCTCCCGCTGCATATTCCCCGCTCGCGATATCGAGCGTCGTGCCGATCCTCGCTGTCGCAGCGACGGCAATTCCAGGACGTCTTGCCCGCAGCATCGATATTATCCATACAGCTGAAGGGCTCAGCCAGAGATATAATTATTTCATTTCTCTCTCTCTCTCTCTCTCTCTCTCTCTCTCTCTCTCTCTCTCTCTCTCTCTCTCTCTCTCTCCCTCCCCTCTCTCTCTCTCTCTCTCTCTCTCTCTTTCTCTTCCTCTCTGCGTAACACGCCCTCCCGTGTAATTCGGCTTTCTTGCGGTGACGGCGGCCGCGCGCTCACCAAGTTCCGGCAACAAGTTACACCCTTCGACTTCTAGCCCGGCAACTTTGAGGCCGAAGAACTCGAGACGCACAACGTGTCAGACGCCATAGGCGCTCGCCTGATTCATGGTTGACCTCCCGCGGCGTGTGGGAGTTGCTCGACGCTAATCTAAGAAGCCGATCATCGCGCGTGCAAGCATCGTGTAATTATCCGCGGCGCTCTTCCGATGCTCGTGCACGTACACGGCGCGATGAGCGCGGCCTGAGCCGGAGCGGGTCTAGGTGTTTCGGCCTCGACGAAAGTACCCATCGCGGACACCTCGTTGCGTCGTTCGTCACGAGCGAAGGAGGCCGTCGACCCCGTCTCGCAGACGCGGCGACTCGGCAGCGCCGCACGCTGCAATCGCGGACTGCTTTCTGCGGGGAGAAGTTTGAAGAGAAGATACACGCTGGACGGCTGTGTTCCGCTTCTGCTGCTCTCCATAGGCGTGCTATCTTCGTCCAACTTTCCGCGATAGGAGTGCAGCTAGACAAAGATCGAACGCCTGTGGCACAGGCCATTCTTTTCAGACGCCAGTCTTCGTGCAGCGCCCCTTGCGAAGCGCTCGGTTTACGTATATACAGGGTGTGTCTGACGATAACATATAAATCTCTCGTGTGCGCGTAGGTCACAGGTGAAACTGGAAGAAAAATGCCGCTACCATTTAGCGAGCGAGCACGCACAAGTTTGGGTTAACGATTTTAAAGAAGAACGGCGAAGTGACCGCGCGCGATGATGCAGCGATGTCTTCGAATCGCGACGCGCGGCGCGAATCGCAGTCGCAGCTCATTCGCGGCAATCTTCTCGAAGCGGTTGGTGGTAGGGCCGAGGGCGGGGGGATCCTCGCTCCCGTTTGATCGAATCTACACGAGAGATTCGTACGTTACCGTCGGGGACATCTTGAGTGAATCTATGGACCTGACGCGTTCCGACAGCGACGGAATGCACGAGATCGCGCGTCGCGCGATGAAATCGCCGCTCCTGCCGTGATTGGGAGCGAAAAACAAACGGAGAGAGAAGACAGGGGCGGCCGTCGTCGTCCCTGTCGTCGCCGCCGCTGCCGCCGCCGCCGCCGCCGTCGCCGCTGCCGGAAGATCCGAGAGAAAAAGACGACAGCGTGTCGCCGCGCTGTCCACGCAAGAAGAGACGGAAGAAACGATGGACGAGGAGATTCGCAGGGTGCACGCCGCCCCCGCGTGTTATGGCGAAAGAACGGAAGGCGGCGACGGTATATATGGAGTGGGGCTCACCCGGGCACGACATGGCCACCCCCTTTATCAAAGGCCTTGGCACTTTGCCACGTTGCACCGCATAATGAAGCAGCACGTTGGGCTTCGGTTATACTGGCGCCAGGGCCCGTGTTTTGCCTCCCGGAGAATAGTTTATTGTGCCGCGCGGCGGCCCTCCACTGTCTCCTTCCGCGTCGGTAGTTCTGCTCGGCATGTCATGTACGATATTCGCATTGGTATTAAGGCGGTTAATGCTCTCTAACGCGCCGAGCTCTCCTTTTGCGCGAGCGCGCGCGGCCCGAGCGTGTAGACAGGGCGATCTCCGCGTTATCAAACGAGCTAGATACGCAACGGCAATCTGGCGCGACGAGTATGCGAGTGTGCGCGTATGCGCGATAAATTGCACAGCGGCTCTTCCCCTCTCCCTTCATCCGCCGGCCGATGATTCAAGTGGCTAAACTTGGCCGTCTATCGCGACAGGATGTCCGCAATCGTCGTCATTTATAAAGAGAAATATATCAAGAGGCACGGTAGTGCCTCGCGCCAAGTTCAAGCGCAACGAAGTTGCGCGAAACTGCGAGTTCAAACGAGGTGAGTTATTCATGTCTCAGCAATGGCTGAACCGATCGAGGTGTTTTTTAGTCCCAATCGACTTGGCCTTAAAAAATAGGAAGAAAAGTGGGCTTGTGCTTTTTGTGTATGTTGTCTCTAAGTGGAGGTATTTCAAGATAAAGTTCAAACCACGAAAAATTTCGATTCAGTAAGAAAGAAACGTCGGACGCACAGGAGTGGGGATATGCGTGCATCTTACTTTTCCGACACCAGGGATGCTATGAGAGTGCTGAAGAAGCAGACAGCAGTGAATGCGAGCGAGTAAGCGAGAAATATGCTAGAATACAGTATAGGAGAAAATGTGTGAGAGAGAGAAAGAGTGAGAGAGCAGAGAGAGGGGGAAGGAAGAGGAAGGAGAGAAAGCGGAGTGAGAGAGAGGAATGAGAGAGAGAGAGGAATGAGAGAGAGAGAGAGAGAGAAAGAGAGAGAGAGAGAAGTGAAAGATAGGAGTGAGAAAGAAAAGAGTGAAATGTACATCTTTTGTAGTTAGGTTTTTCTTGAGTAATAATAACCTTTAAAAAGATATTTTTTCAAATATTGGACACTATTAATAAACGTATTAAATTTTTAAAACCCGATATAATTTTTACTTGTAAAAACTTATGTTATGTACATATATATCTTAAAAGAAAAATAATTTGATAAGTTTTACTTGCAAAAACATATGTTATGTACATAATATATATCTTAAAAAAAGGGAATAATTTGAATTTGAGATTTCTAAAATATTAAGTATATAATAATCATATATATATATATATAAGATATATATATATATATCTTAGGTTTCCCAGTTGGCGCTACTGTTTTAATATATCACTCCTTTTGTACAGTAGAATAGTGTTGTAGAGTTTTATTATAATTATAAGTTTCACTTGTAAAAACTTATGTTATGTACACATACATACCTTAAAAAAATAATTTGAATTTGAAATTTCTAAGAGTAACATAGGTAATATACAAATGAATAATCCAAGTTTTTCAACTAAAAATTCAAGGATTATTTTAAAAGAAAATAAAACAAATTTGTCAATCGAAATATTCGCCATTGTATTCTATAACTTTAAGCCATCAGGCAGCTGATGAATTCCATGTCGAAAAAATGTTGTGTCTTTGGACACGATAGAGTCGTCAAGCCATTTTCGAATTTCATCCACTGATTTCAAGTGCGTATCGGACAAGGCATCGACCGGAACAAGTGATAATCGGTAGGAGCGATGTCTGCTGAATACGCCGGGTGCTGCAAGATGTCCCAGCCAAGACTCATTATGATGTCTTTTGTCGTAGAAGCAATATACGGTCTAGTGTTATCATGCAACAATTTCACAGGATGTTCTTCTTTGCCACTATAACGGACGTTTCCGTTTTAATTCTTGACTCAAACGGATTAATTGGTGTTGCTAGCGGTCCGCAGTAATTGTTTCATTCGGTTTTAATAGCTCATAATAAATCACGCCCTTCATATCTCACTTCAAATGCAAAGCAGAATCTTCTTTTCGAAGTGTTTCGGCTTTGCGACCGATGTTGATGGTTCGCCGGGAATAACCCATGATCGTCCGCGTTTCGGATCGTCATAGAGTATCCACTTCTCATCACCCGTAATAATTTTCCACAAGAAAGACTTTCTACGCTGCTTATTGAGAAGAGAAAGACACTGCCGCTCGTTGATCTTTGTTGGCTTCAGTGAGTTCATGAGGAACCCATTTTCCTTCTTTCTGAATCTGCTCCATTTCGTGTAGGTGTTTGGAAATAGTTTGTTGCGTTACTCCTAACTGCTCTGCAAGCGTTCTTTTTGCGTTTATGCTGAATTCTCAGCGAGCAGTTGCCCTAAATCATTGTTGCCGAGGGCAACTCTCTAGAACGTTCTTTGTCACTCAAACTGAAATCGCCGCTTTTAAACCGTCTAAATCAAAATGCACACACATTGCATGATATAACATATATAACATCTTCGCCGAGAAAGGAACGAATCGATTCGTATGCTCTTGCAGCATGTTTTTCTTGGAATTCGTAAAAAATGCAGTGTCGGATATGCACTTTATCTGTTGCTATTTTTGACTCTGCTGAATTAAATAATTTTTGAGGTTATGTTGAGTCTTCCGTTATATAATTTTTAATAGCTATGTATCAACTACGTAACCGTAAAAGAGCGGGAAAATTTGATTATTTGAAACTTAATTTTTTAGCCGCTTAAAAGAGTATGGATTATTCATTTGTCATCTAATATTTATTTTCTGATTGCGACGCGCCGATTAAATCGTCTTTCAGAATATCTTTATTTAGTAATCTAAAAATTCGATTAATCCAAAATAAAGAAATTTATATTAAAATTGTGGGTAATTTAAAGAAAAGAAAAGTAATCGATTACGGTCGGTAAGGTTGTCCTTCCGTACATCTTTCGCCAGATAGTCTCGTCTTACAAGTCTTCGTCAAGCCATAGTATTCTCGAGAAATTGGGAATTCGTTATCCACCTCTTCGTAGGACTCTTCAATATCTCGTACGATTAGATACAGCAACTTAATCACCTCGCACTTCGAAAGAGATTATCAACATCCAAATAAGTCTAACGACTTGACCACCTCGACCTAGAAAGGAAGTCTTCAGCAACTCCTTCTCGAATGAGTATACCAACTCAACCACTTCACACCGTATACATAAGAATTAATACAAATTAACACTCCTTTTTATCGTGAATAAGAAGTCGATCTCTAGATACAACTTGTTACGTCTGATTCACTCAACGAGCAAACATCCAGTATTGATCAAACATCTTTATTTTACTGTCGTCAACGTTCAATTGTCATCACCTTTTCTCTCCCTTTCAATCTATGTGGAAAGTGACACTCTGTGCGTCATCGAAACGTCCGGTGTGAGCCTATGCCGCGTTCTCAACTCTCTTCCTTTCGCCGATAGATTGATCGAAACACAATTCTCAGTCGGAGGTCGCGCGAAAGGTGTCGTTTATAAGCGGAATATTTGCGTGACCTAGCAAGATCAGAAATTCAAGTTCCGTCGAGATTCGCTCGCGAGATACTCGCTGCCGTGAATTTCGTGATGTATTTAGATCCCCGAAGCTCAAGTCGCTGAAAGCTCCCAACTTTCCGTCGCTTCTAACTCTCGAAAGGGTCATGAAACGTCGCGCGAGGCACTGAAAGCGATCGTCGTTTGTTCCAAATCGTCCGCTTGCGCTTTGCACGCGCGAGCTTCCGATTTGCCGATTTGCAGGCGAAAAATCGCGATTTGCTCGCGTGGTTTCAAGCGGGCCGATCGTCGTCGCGTCCGCTCGCGAAAATAATCAACGGTGAGGGAAATCGCGCGCGCGCGATACGCCTGTAATGGAGACGCACCTGTGCAAATATCACGCATGTGGCGCGTCATGAGGCACAACCGCACGCAATGCGTAACTTTCACAGAAAACTTTTACGAACAACAGGCGTCAATGTCCGTTGATCTGCTAATCGTTGCCGAGACAGCGGCAGCGCACAGCGTCGCGGTTTGTTAGGTTATACAGTTATATTCGCTTTGTATTCGAGAACGCGGTTATCGGAGAAACTGTAGACGGCATAACGAGAAGGTTATTATCCGCGCTGCTTAATTTATGCAAGTGATAAACTCACAGCGCCATTATTGGCTCTGTGACTACGCGAGCGTGCTGAATACACGCGGGGGGCTGTTCATAAGCAACTACTCCCGAAATTTCGGGACGGCTTCTGTTCCGGCCGGCTGACGTCACGTTGCGCGGAATTAGCGCGAGACGCGCTATTTACGATCGCGCGAAAAATCGAGCACCGCGAGCTCTCCGCGATCGAAAGATAGTCGTTACCGACTAATTAACGTCGGTCGCGACTTACGCTCGCGCTTTGTGCGGGAATAACGAAAGCTGCGATGTGAATTTTTTCGCATAGGTTTTCGGCTGTTGATTTTCGGCTGCGTCCGCTCATTTCTGGAGAGGGGCCCGGCGCTCGTTTGAAGCACAAACACGTCTTGATTGCGAATTCAGAAAGTTAGCCGGCGAAAAAGTAAACGGCGGGAAGAGCGAATGCGCGCGTACTCGCAAGAAGGACGAAAACAAGAGGGCGGTTGATGAGACCGAAAGTTACGCTTCCGTCCGGCTCTCGGGCCGATTCGACAAGAGAGAGAGAGAGAGGGGGAGAGAGAGAGAGAGAGAGAGAGAGAGGGGTAGAGAGAGAGAGAGAGAGAGAGAGAGAGAGAGAAAGAGAGAGAGAGAGAGAGAGAGAGCGAGCGGCGCGGCTCCGGCGAGAGGCGCTGACGTATCTTCGGCGTATTTCGCCGACCGGGCGGGAATCGCGCGCGAAGACGCCGTTTACCTCGGCGACCTAAATTATGCAGCTCGGCCTCGGCGCGTCCGCGAACGGCCGCGCCGTAATGCGAATTTAACCGGAACTTTGCAGACGACCTAATTAAAGCGCGAAAGATCTAAAGCACCGCTCGGCGCTTGTTTCCAGCATTTAGACGGAGATTTACGCCGCGCGCGGCCGGATAGCGTACGCGTGCGCTTTATCCCTCTGCGCTCGAAGCGAATCCGACTCTTCATTACAGCTCGCTAATTATCGATTCGCGCTAATCACCGCGATATCGCCGATGCACCGTCCGTCGCAACTTTCGCATCGCACGTGAGCCGTGCTGCGCGCGTTAGCAGTGAGCCGTGCCGGCGCGATATCAGACGGACCCGGCGAGCTTAATCGGCGATCGAGGGACACCGAGAAGTGAGAAATGGCGCGGCACGTATACGGCCTTAAAAGCGATACACGCGCCGCCGGATCTTTATGAGAGGAGTCGCAAGCGATAAGACGATTCGGACCTCGCGCCGCACCGCGCGCCGCGGGTAATCGCCGCGCATAAAGCCCGGTTTAATGCTATCTTCAAGGCTCGATAGGTTATTCCGCGCGCGGACCGGCGTAATGCCACGCTCCGTTTCCGAAAGTTTCAGCCCCTGTTATCAGAAGCTGGCGTATGCGCCGGTGTGCGGTGCCGCAATGTATTCGCTCTTCGTGAAAGGATACCCTTTAAATCCGGGAGGAGACTCGGAACGGATGGGCTCGGTAAAAGGTAGCCGTAAGTAATACGGGAATAAACAACGCAACGGATCTGCAGCGCTCCAAATTGATATGAAAATGATATCATAACGGGGAGCAAGAGTGGATGAATGAAATTTTGCGTTGGAACTTCCATGACAGATGGCCTCGCGTCTCTCTCGGAAGGAGGGATAAAATATCTTTAAAAATTGAATATCAGACTACGCGGTCTTTCTCTTCGCTTCTCCCTGCTCGCGCTGCCTCAGGAGGACGGCGGGCGGCGGCGGGGGGAGGGGGGGAGGAAAGAGATGCCTTCGCCTGTACGAAGGAATAAGAATTCGCGAAGCTTCTTCCGCTGTCGTAAAAATATAAATTAAAGTGCTATTAGTCACGAGGCGAAATGATTCATGGCCGAAGCGATGTTAGATTACCAACTCTTTCGTCCGGGACGAAAACAGGCTTCGCGGCGAGAGAGAGGAGAGAAAATGCGAGACGGGGGAGGGGAGAGGGGGAGAGAGGGAGAGATCCGTGTCGCGACCGGCCTCGGTGAAAATCGCGCGCGGTCACGCCGGCCAAGGAACTTTTACATTTGTCCCGGGCGAAAATTAGAATTTACAAACGCGCGGACTACTTGGCACACGCGACTCCGCGCTCGATTCTCCCCAGCTGCAAAAGAAGCGAAATGCGAGAAAAGGGACATCGGGGCGCGCGGCGACGTGTGTTCTATTCTTTTCAAATTACTGTCGCGCCATACGAGCGCGGATTGTGCGACACGCCGAAATGTGCATACGCACACCGGAATCCTCTGATCCACTTTCCTTCGCGAAGTATCGTAAACCCCCGCATTCCAGCATCCCGTGTCGGGATGTGCGTCTTATATTCCGTATCGGAGCATCGGATCTCTCGGAAGAGGAGAGAGAGAGGGGGGCAGGGAGAAAGAAGAAACGTTATCTGTGCTAGCAGCAAACAAAGTTTGCGCGCTCCTCGCGTATTTTTCTCTTTGGGTTATACAACCTACCTACTGTCGCCTCACGGCCGAATGTTTCGCCGAGATTACCTGTCAGAATACGTATTTCCCGCTGGCGAGTAAATTTCTCTTCCGACCGAGCCGCGAAAATGTTTCAATGTGGCGGAGCGATCCTTTCAGAAAGCGGCCGTATTATATCTCCGTCTCAGGCGGACGTTTTTTTCTGCTTTTAATTTGTCATAAGCAGGACACGAGTGTACGTCGCATTGTGAGGAATATCGAACGTGCGGCGAAGAGGAGCGCAGGAGCACACACACGGGGCACTGTCCCTCGAAGACTCTCTGGTGCGTCTGACATAGTGCCTTCCGTCGCTCGTGTCGTATCGCTAACTCGACGGCGTTTCTTAATGATGTATTAGATGTACAAATGAATAATTCATATTCTTTTAAGTGGCTAAAAAATTAAGTTTCCAATAATCAAAATTACCTGCCCTTTTACGGTTAACATATAGCTACTAAAAATTACATTTAATATGGCGGAAGGCTCAACGTAACTTCAAAAATTATTCAGTTCAGTACAGTCAGAAATGGCAACAGATAAGGTGCATATCCGACACTGCATTTTGCCGAATTCCAAGAAAAACATGCTGCAAGAGCATACGAATCGATTCGTTCCTTTCTCGGCGAAGATGTTATATATGTTATATCATGCAATGTGTGTGCATTTTGATTTAGACGGTTTAAAAGCGGCGATTTCAGTTTGAGTGACAAAGAACGTTCTAGAGAGTTGCCTCGGCAACAATGATTTAGGGCAACTGCTCGCTGAGAATTCAGCATAAACGCAAAAAGAACGCTTGCAGAGCAGTTAGGAGTAACGCAACAAACTATTTCCAAACACCTACACGAAATGGAGCAGATTCAGAAAGAAGGAAAATGGGTTCCTCATGAACTCACTGAAGCCAACAAAGATCAACGAGCGGCAGTATGTCTTCCTCTTCTCAATAAGCAGCGTAGAAAGTCTTTCTTGTGGAAAATTATTACGGGTGATGAGAAGTGGATACTCTATGACGATCCGAAACGCGGACGATCATGGGTTATTCCCGGCGAACCATCAACATCGGTCGCAAAGCCGAAACACTTCGAAAAGAAGATTCTGCTTTGCATTTGAAGTGAGATATGAAGGGCGTGATTTATTATGAGCTATTAAAACCGAATGAAACAATTACTGCGGACCGCTAGCAACACCAATTAATCCGTTTGAGTCAAGAATTAAAACGGAAACGTCCGTTATAGTGGCAAAGAAGAACATCCTGTGAAATTGTTGCATGATAACACTAGACCGTATATTGCTTCTACGACAAAAGACATCATAATGAGTCTTGGCTGGGACATCTTGCAGCACCCGGCGTATTCAGCAGACATCGCTCCTACCGATTACCGGTTACCGATTACGGTCGATGCAACATGCCTTGTCTGATACGCATTTCAAATCAGTGAATGAGATTCGAAAATGGCTTGACAACTCTATCGTGTCCAAAGACGCAACATTTTTCCGACATGGAATTCATCAGCTGCCTGATGACTTAAACTTATAGAAAATAACGGCGAATATCTTGATCGGCAAATTTGTTTTACTTTCTTTTAAAATAAATCTTGAATTTAGTTGAAAAACTTGAATTATTCATTGGTACATCTAATAGCTTTCCGCACAATTGATGCTTGATGTGGATAAAGTACCCGATATTATTCCCCATTTGGACACCAACCAAAGAAATAATAATCCTCGTCTCGCGTCTGCACATGTGTGGGAGGTGTAATTGTAATTTTCCAAAAAAGATTTGCTTCGTCAACAGTGCACTTGTATCGAAGGCGGAGAGATAGACATAGTCGAACAGACACGGGATAATCGACAATTACGAAGTGATGTTTATTGTTCGAGTTTATTATCGTTTCTGTAAGGCGGAAAGAGAGAAAGAGATGATCGCGCGCGGGGAGGAGAGACAGAGACACGAAGCTCGAACTATAATGCTGTTTCTCTCTTTCTCTCTCTCTCTCTCTCTCTCTCTCTCTCTCCCCCTCTTATGCTGCATCTTAACTTGTTTCTAAGTTCTCTCGAGAGTATCAGTTCCTCGCAGCAAGGTAAACCGTGAAACAGTGGAATTACGAGTTGTGTTGTGGTAATATATGTATTCCTCTCCGACTAGAGTTGCGATATTGCAACGTCGGAGTGCCGTTGAATGTATCTTAGCAAACAAATTATTCTTCTGAATGCTCGCTATAATTTTATCTCTATGAGCTTCTCTTTCATTGGCGGTATCGCACGTGCGTCAATTCAGGTTCCTATGTGCATACATACTGATAAAACTTGCTTGCGCATCCTATGTTTGCGGGTATTTCAAACATGCGTATCTGATATTAAGCTTTAGATTTGATCAGTGTATGCAATTTATGAGCATACGGAATGATTCAATAATATTATTATTTAGAATGTGTATGTGCAGATAATGTCTGTGTCTTTTCAAAGAACGTGCAAATGTTTGTTGGCGATTATAGTTGCCAATTTACCTGCCTCAATTGTGTGGGCTTAGTCATTATTTGTTTAAGAACGATCTGAAGAGCGCCGAGATAAGGAATACGAAAAGGACGAGTGACCGGTGTGAAGAGCTCAAAGGTAACGCATCGTTCGGGCGTTTCAGAACGAAAATAATTCCGTTCGCTGACGTTCCGAACTTGCCGGAGCCAGTGTCGCAGATTTGAAGAAGCCGGAGTCTTCGGAATCTACATGTAAATTTGAGTCTCCTCTTTTATTGCTAGATCTCCTGACGAGAATCATCTAGTTACACGACTTTTAACGCATTCGCCGCCCACCGTCAGGAAAAGGATGCTTCCTCGCTTCCTTACTATTCGCTCGTCTTCTTCTTCTTCGGAGTTTTCTCGGACTTTTACTTCTCGTTAGATAGACTCGCATGTTCGCCTTCTATTGGTTGTACACGCTGCGCGGTATCGTATTAGGATTCCCGAAGTTCGCTTCGCAGATCTGTCTATGTAGAAGGAACTTACAAGTTTATATCACTTATCTGCATAAATATGATATAAACTTAGATGCAACGATAACTAAACACTCGTCTATGTTTCTGGCTACCTCTCTACTTATCTCGAATTTGAACACATTTTGGTTTAAAAATATTTCCCATTGCGAGAACATAATAATTTACACGTGCGAGAAAATAATAATTTACACATATATGAAGTAATTAATTTTTTGTTCAATTTGTATCGACTGTTCACTCGCATACAAATAATGTCAATTAAACAAGTATGGAATTCTTAACCAAAGCTGAGTGCGGTATTTAGTAAAGGGAGATTTTTTAGAAGACATCAATTTTAGTATTGATCTGGAATCGAGATAACTGATACCTAGATATCTAAACAGCACGCATATCAGAATAAAATTTTTTTAAAGGGGACGTTTAGATATCTTAGAAATGTCAAAATGGTATCTGATAATTATCGTTTTTATCAGGAACATAATTTTTACTAAACATCTGTAATAAAAAAGCTCTTAAGATATCTTATCTTATTTGAGAGATTTTTTGAAAATGTTATCTTTATGATATTAATTTAGGCGATATTTATTTAATCTCTCATAAAGAACAGCGCAATCTCATGTTGCCCAATTTCTAAGCCATCCGTACGCGCTTGTGTCGCATTATTTAACCCAAACAGCATTGTGATATCTTTAATGGAAGATCAAACAGATCATCTAGAATAATATCAAAAATAACATTTTCAAAAGACGAATTCAGCCTATAAAATCTTATGTACTGATATTAATGTAAGAAATGAAGTTTAAAGATTGCTTTAAGTACCTTTAAAGACTGTTAAATATTGTCAAACAGCTCAATATTATCAAACTGCCACACTAACTCGCATACTTGGACGTGCGCAAGTCGCGGGCCCAAAGTATTCAAGATATTAAAAAAAATGGAGAGAAAAGGGATAAAAAACCAAAACTATAAAGGATGACAGTCGCTCCATAATCGGAGTTTTTTGCAATATGCATGACGCTTAGTCGGTGCATCATATACATAAATTTATCATATACAATAATTTATAATTATATATCGTATACATTTCGCAGTAACGTTTGAAACATTTCAAAATATTTATCACATAACGAGACAATTTATTTTCCTTAAGAGACATGTACATCATCTTTCGTAGAGCATAAATAAATAATTTATATGCTGATATGTATTTCCAAACCTCTATATATATCAAACTATATACGAGGGTAGTCCCAGAAGTACCTGACCTGATGTATAGTTAGCGGTTGTTGTTTGAAAAGAATGACTATGGTAGAAAGTACCAACCTTATAAAGCTTAAGTTTGAAGTTTGACGACGCTACGTTGTTTAGTATTTGTTTAGCAGCCATCAATAGTGAACGCTCTCAGTGAATTTGTAAACATGGAAAGAATTGGTCATCGTTATGTGATACAATACTTTCATTTGAAAGGCCTCAGTCCAACCAATATCAAAGCGGAGCTAGATTCTACTCTGGGGGAGTCTGCTCCTTCGTTTTTACAACAGTAAAATATTGGGTGGCAGAGTTTAAACGAGGCCGTACGAGCTGCCAAGACGAACATCGCAGTGGTCGACCAAATGAGAGGTGACCACGCCAGAAATGGTGAAGAAAATCCACAAAATGATATTGGATGTGACCATCGACTGAAAGTGCGCGAGTTAGCAGACATGGTAGGCATTTCAAAAAGTGCTGTACATCGCATATTGACTGAAAATTTGGACATGAAAAAGCTGTGCGCAAGATGGGTGCCGCGATTGGAACAAAAACAGCGTCGTGAGGATGTTTCAATCGAGTGTTTGGCGAAGTTTCGCAGCAATAAAGCCGAGTTTTTGCGTCGATTCATAACCATGAATGAAACATGAGTCCATCACTTCACACTGAGACGAAGGAACAGTCAAAACAATGGACCAAGGTGGCTTGATGGCTATTTTGAGGAGCTCAACGATTCCCACTATAAACAGGGTATCGAAGCTATTGAACGCTGAAGAACGCTGGGAAAAGTGTATTGAGCTAAAAGGAGACTATGTAGAGAAATAAAGATATTTTTTCCCAAATTTTTTGTGTTTTCCTTGTTAGGTCAGGTACTTCTGGGACTACCCTCGTATATTGCAGCTCTTTTAGACATAAATAAAAACTCTACATATTGACATGCTTGGATATCCTAAGATGTTCGACTTGAGAAATATATTATCATTTACGTAATATTTTTCTTATTTCAGAAAAACACACTAGATAACATTAGATAACATTCAGACGTATTTATGTCACCTTTTTGAAACGATTTTAGGTTATCAGGTTGAAAAATAAGATATCTTTTATATACAACTTGCCTCGGTAGAAATAAATGCTTAAGAGAGTGCTAGAATGTATGTTGAGTGACTGAGTCAAGGATAGGAAAGAATTAATTTAAAACACCGACTTTTGGGGGAAAAAGACCGATTTTTTCTGAAAATCTGAAAATCGAATCAAGACCGCCCATCACTAACATGTGTACATATTACAGCACTCAAAATATGTTACGCACGTATCACTCAATTAAATGTATTAATTAATAAAGCGGCTGCACACAGATGATGTATAAATAAGCATTTGATGAGCTCAATAACCTATTTATGTGTTTTACTGATTTGCAGCATTCCGAATTCGGTGAACGTAGTTTTGTCGATGACTGCGATTACGATTGGAATATAATTTTCGCGCTTACCCTCGCATCCCGTAAATATCCCAAATATTTTAAAACTAAAATGTTTGGAGGATATATTTGCTTCTGAAAAAAGCATATTCTCAGCTCAACATGAATGACGCTGTTAATGCTCACTCCTGTAGAAGCAAATCATATTTTCCGATCTTTACGAATTCACGCGCATAGAAGAGCTCAATATACGGAAATACGATTATCTCTCCGTACGACAGGACCGTTTACCGTTTAACAGAATTCAGCCAATTACGTTAAACGAGAAATACCTAACAAGATTTCCAGAGAACATCCGAATCCTCTCTGTCTCGCTCTCTCGCTCTCTCGCTCTCTCTCTCTCTCTCTCTCTCTTTCTCTTTTAAAAGCATGGTTATATCATAATATGACTCCTCCCGTCCAAATTAGAATTAACCGCAACCTCGAATTTCCCCACGTAAACGTGGATATTGAGTACTTCAAATTCAACAATTTTTGCGAAAGTTCCGCTTGTAATTGGAGTAGATCAAACATTAAAAATTATCTTCACTATAAAGTGCTCTGCATATACTTCAGCACAATAACAATAAAGACAAAACAATAATGATAAAAAAGGTACGATATATCGTATCATAATATTTGTACAAATTTATTTTATGACAGACATTAGTTTTTCCACTGACACGATTAAGAAATGTATAATAGACCGATAAATAAATTTGAGGAGATTGACAAACAGAAATTTTATGTCCCCGTATCGTGCGTCAACATCAAGTTGTATTTTTTAAACATTCAGCGAATGACGAAGATGCAAACATTTAGCTATACTATCATGTGCGATTGCTTCGTGCCAGAATTTCATTGGCGCAACTTTAGAAACGGAGTGATTCATTACATTAAACAAAACTGCTACTCATTTGCTGCTACTCGTGACACAACTTACTATTATAACGCATGTGAGAAGTCTTGATATCAGCGAACATCTGCGCGACGAAAATGCGTTGAAAATTCAAAATGCGTTTAAAACTATTAGGTAAATCGGAAAGTTCCGTCCATCTAGCGGCAAGTAGCTATAGCTAGAACTGTCGTTAACCTCTAATGTCTAAATGAAGCTTGTTTTGATATCTGTCAATAACATTCAGTACTTATGCAGTTCAGTACTTCTGTATGACCTTTATAGGTATACGTTTGCATCAATAACATTGTTTGTTACTACATCGAAAATGTCGAAATTTGAGCCAAATAAGCGTCATTTGCGCGAAGTATTAATCTTTTGCTTTAATTGGAAGAAAACTGCAGCTGAAGCTCATCGAATGCTTGTAGAAGTTTATGTTGATAATGCTCCTTCCGATAAAACATGCAGAGAATGGTTTCGACGCTTTAAAATTGGTGATTTTGATGTAGAGGACAAAGAGCGTTCTGGACGGTCAAGAGTATTCGAAAACGAAGAATTGCAGGCATTGGTGGACGAAGACCCATGTCAAAAGCAACTTGCAGAAGCATTAAATTGTGTTCAATCTGTCATTTCCGATCGTTTGAAAGCCTTAGGAAAGGTTTACAAGGAAAGAAAATGGGTCCCATATGAACTGAAGCCAAGAGACATTGAAAGGCGAAAAACCACCTGCGAAATTCTGCTTGCTAGTCAACAAAGAAAGAGATTTTTACATCGTATCATCACTGGGGATGAAAAATGGATTTATTTTGACAACCCCAAACGTCGAAAAACTATTTGCGATTCCGGCCAACCCTCAACATCGACGCCAAAACGGAATATCCACGGAAAGAAGGCAATGCTCTGTATTTGATGGAATCAGAAGGGTGTGCTGTACCATGAGCTGTTGAAAAGTCACTGTGGTCAAACAGTCACAGGGAATCTCTACAGAGAACAAATGATCCATTTGAGTCGAGCATTGCACGAAAAAGGACGAGAATATGAAACGAGATAGCATAAAGTGATTTTGCTTTATGACAACGCTCGGCCTCACGTCACAAAATCTGTCAAGGAAACGTTAGAAGCACTTCGCTGGGAAGTGTTACCCCATGCGGCTTATTCACCAGACTGTGCCTTTTCCGACTACCACTTGTTTCGGTCGATGGCACACGCACTTGCTGACGAATGCTTCAATTCTTATGAAAACGTCGAAAAATGGGTCTCTGACTGGATAGCCTCCAAAGATAAGTCATTCTTTCGCCGCGGAATTCGCTTGCTGACCGAAAGATGGGAAAAAGTGATCGCTAACGATGGACAATATTTTGATTGATATTACTTTTCATTTTGTTTCTTAAATAAAGCCACATTTTGCAAAAAAACGGACGGAACTTTCCGATTGACCTAATAACTATTAAAATCGTACAACTTACTTACTGACTGCGCGCAGGCAGAATCTCACAAGATTACTTTGCCGAAATTAATAAGTGCGTGAGTCAACTTTGAACCAACGTTTCATCTTTCAAATATGCGAGAAAGTATCTAAAACGCGTGTAGAAAGAGCGTTTAAAAACGAAAACGTGTATTTCGCTTTGAGTTGCTCTACGAAGTGTCCAAAGTATGTTCAAGAAAATTTTTTTTAATGGACAATAGATAATAAATTATTCGGAGCGTAGTTGATAATAGAAGATGACAAAGACCACTATCTGAAAGAGATTCGAGTTTCTTCGTCATACCATAGACTTCTACAGTTCGTCCTCTTTCAGAAGGTAGATGGTAAATCACGCGAAAGTACTTTGCTAGAAGAATTCTTCAATAATAAAAGTGTCCTCGGCACTTTTGGCGGCTCGGAGTCAACTTGCAAGTTCCTTATACTTGTATAATATATACATTTTTATTACATTATCATTTTATAATACAACATATACATATACATGTATATGAACGAAGTAAAAGACTGCCGTGCTATTTTAAGTACAATCGTCGCAAATTGTCCGCTGCAAAACTTGCAAAGTCACGTTATCAAATTGACTCTGCTATAAAAGATTGCGAGCAGCAATACGCGTATTCTTGCCCTGTTTACATATTAATTCTATGTCGATTGATAAGAACTGTATAATTCTGTCATTCATATGCATATTATGCTAATATTATTTTCAGTTAAATAATTAGACACGTGCAGACGATACGTGGAAAATATCAAGAATCTGCGGCAGTGTAACCAGATATGTAAGCAGGTTTTCATGAGGAGTTGATAAGACCTATCTATCGTAGTTGCTGACAGTCAGTCGTCTGCACAACGTGGCAATGTCAACACACGTCAGGATGGACATTATTCTCGTAGTCGGTGTTGTCTTAAGCACATACCGAGTACATCAGAGTTATGGCTATAATGCCGAAGATGTAATAAACATCCCCGAAGACTTTTGGCTAGGTATAGCCACGTCTGCTTATCAGATAGAAGGTGCTTGGAACGAGAATGGTATGTAAACTATGTATTGCTGTAATAATAATTAAATCACGCAAGGCCTCTTAGTCAAGTAAGCAAGAACTTTATTATGTATAGTTATCGGTGATTACACAGGGTGTTTCGGACCACTCGTTCACGTCTTTTATTCTGAAAAGGGGTGATACTAGGAGGCAGGGAAAACATGTTTACCACAGAAACTTATCTGAAGTTTCTGATCGTGGTGCTTTCACTTTCGGGAAACCGGAAACCAAAGGCAACTTGTTATATCGTGTGTTTATTATGTTTGACTCGAATCAAGCGATTCAAGAAGCTTGCTATTCTTTAAATTCTGCAGAAGACTTGAGGAGCTGACAACAGCGTGAGGCAAAGGATGAAAAGATGTGTCTTCGTCTTCCACCTATAACTATCTTTTCATTTCCGTGTATTCTGATATTATCTTTTTGAAAACCCATGTCGCAATTAAAAATTTTTTAAGTTGCCTTCGGTTTGCGGTATTTCCGGGTTTGCCAAAAGTAGCATCATTAGAAACTTCGGATAGGGTTTTGTGGTAAACTTGTTTTCCCAACTTCCTTGCATCGCCCCTTTTCAAAAGCTTGAAACATCCTGAATAATTTGTTAAAATTTTTAAAGGTAAAGGTTTAAACATATGGGACCGATGGACTCACGAGCATCCAGAGGACGTGAATGATCATTCCAATGGTGATATAGCTTGCGATAGTTATCACAAATATAAAGAAGACTTGGAAATATTAAACAATACTGGGGTGCGTCCTGCTTAGACATAAATCTCGAAATCGAATATATAATTATAACAATATCGAATATAATGAAATAACATATCAAATATTGAAGTATTGTGGCATTTCAGGTTGACTTTTATCGATTTTCTCTCAGTTGGTCGCGTATTTTGCCGAATGGTTATTCCAACGTGATCAACTACAAAGGGCTTCAGTTTTACAAGGATCTTATTGACGAATTGACTGCAAGTGGCATCATCCCGGTTGTCACTCTATACCACTTCGATCTTCCGGATGTTTTCGAACAAATGGGCGGGTGGATGAATGAATTGATAGTCGAATGGATGTCCAATTTTGCCAGGGTCGTTTTTAAAGAGCTCGGCCCCAAAGTTAAATATTTCATAACTATTAATGAACCTTTGGTATTTTGCGACAAAGGGTACCAGACAGGCGAAATGGCGCCAGGTATTTACCGTTTCTATTTCTTTATTGTTTATAAGAGCCACGGTCCACGGTTTCGGTAAAAAGAATCACCGAATGCCTCTCCTTCCAAGTGAAAAATGGGAAAAAGAAGAATCTATTCTTTCAGGAAAGAAATTAGGCGCTATTGGAAAATACCTGTGCTTGCATAACGTTTTGAAGGCACACGCAAAAATTTATCATATTTACGATCAAGAATTTCGTAAACAACAAGAAGGTAAAATAGGCATAGTCGTACCTTGCTCCGGTCTGTTCGCCAAAATTCCCAATGATGACGCAGCGACAGACACCTACTTCCAATTCGAGTGCGGCATAATAACGGGTCCTATATTTTCGGAAACTGGCGACTACCCGAAGGTAGTAAAAGACCATATAGCCGAGAACAGTAGACTCCAAGGATTTTCAAAATCGATTCTGCCGGAACTTTCACCGATTTGGGTGCAGTTTATCAAGTAAGAGAACTTGTGAATACGTCGATATCGGTGAATGACGAAAACGACGTGCGTGTTTACGATGTTTCGTTTGGAAACAAGTTACAGGTTTATACTCTCGCGTGTATATAATTAGACGTTTCAAACAGCATTCACTGGTAATGACAAATTCATCGACATTAAGAAGGCAGAAGTTCATTTTTGGCTTTTGCTCGTTGATCGATCAACAAGTCTAGTATTATTCCTTGGATCGCGTCACTCTCTGCTTGCTTTTAAGGAATAGCTCGGACTTCTTCGGACTGAATCATTATACCTCGAGATTAGTGGAAACGGTGCCGCGAGTGGCAAACCAGTCATGGTACGACTACAGTGGCGTGAAAGCGAGCATAGATCCATCATGGCCATCAACCGCTTCGGCTTGGTTGAAAGTTAGTATGAACATGGGAGATGCATATTAACTGCGTGCATCACAAACTAGCGGATATCAATTTTCGTCGGGAAACTTCTGTTCGCGTAAGGCCGCGCGGAATTCATTAATCTGACCCCGATAACACATCGGGCGCAATTAAGTCATACAGATAGCTTAACTTATTGTTATGAATAATTTACCCCGTGAATTATGCATAGATCGCGCTCGCACAATGTCATAGATTGGGCATCAGAATAGAGTGTATTTCAGAAAATGAGCTTTCCCGCGCGCGTTCGTCTACATCGAACGTATCACGAACCGATGGAATTACGATTGACCATGGAATGGAAAAACCATTGCTTGACCATACCGTTGAGCGAGTACCGGCGGATACTTCATTCATTTGAGTCGGATTAAGTACAGCGATACCGAATTTCTCACATATAATAAAGCTGACACCGCCATGATAGCTTTAACATTCGGTACAAGGTTACTAGTAGTTTCTGATCGTACGACTTCCCTCCTAGACGCCAACTTAGAGCTACCGCTGAGACAAATGTACTGTTTTAACAGGATTATTCCTTCTCCTTTGAGCAATCAATAAGTAACAAGTCAATAACCCAGTTGCACGAAATGTCAAGGCTATTAGAAAAAAAGCATCTGGCTCCAGAAATTTATTGATCTCGTGTTGCTTCACTTGTGCTGACATGCAACGTGTCGCGAATATTTCAGGTCGTCCCCATTGGATTTCGGCAAATTATTAAAAAGATTTCGACAGAATACAATTATCCACCCATTTATATTATGGAAAACGGCATGTCCAACGCGAACGCTGATACTAATGATAAAAACAGAATATCGTACTTATATTCCTACATGAAAGAAATGCTGATCGCCATGCACGATGATGGATGTAACGTAAAGGCGTACGCTGTCTGGAGTTTGTTGGACAATTTCGAGTGGTCAAGCGGTTACACGTGAGTAATATCGCCGCCTGTTTCAAAGTAGATGACATTGTCTTCTTGACAGTAGATGTCGAGTGGTTTGCACAATTAACAATTCATTTATTCGAATTGTATGTACATGTACGATTATGCTTCAATAGAGAAAAGTTCGGAATGGTACGTGTCGATTTTGAGGATCCCAACCGAGCGAGAACTCCGAAATCATCGCTGCAGTGGTATAAGAACGTAATTCGGACACGGCGACTTTATAATGAGATTTTTGTCGATAATCATACAGTGTTAAAAATGTGAATGAAACACACTTGAGACCAGCTCGGATGTCGCTGCACGTAACGTTGTGTGATAGAGAAGTCGTTTGCGTATATATTTCCTATATTTCTGCGTATATATATTTTTCGTACAAGCTAGTGTTCCGTAACGGCAACCGCCTAAGGTATTTTCTAATTAATTATTTAAATGAGATATATTGATTTTTGCTCATGTCCTCTGATTAATATAATTGTGTCATGATTACCAAAAGAATACATTGAAATAGTATTATTGTTGTCGTTGTTATTATTATTATCATCATCATCATAATCATCACCATCATCATCATTATGTATGATCATGCAAAAACATTTTGTATATGAGCAAAAAAATTCGTTTTAATTTTTCTTATAGACACATATACTCTCTCTCCCCTTCCCACCTTCTCTCTCCTTCTCTCCTTCTCTCCCTCTCTCTCTCTCCTTCTCTCCCTCTCCCCCTCCCTCTCCCTCTCCTCCCCATCTCCCCACCCCCTCTCCCCCTATCTCCCCCTCTCTTCCCTCCATCACTACCCCTCTCTCCCTCTCTCTCCTCCCCCCTCCCCCTCTCTCTCTCTCTCTGTACATCTCCCTCTTTCTCTCGGGTAAGAAAGCTGTATTGCATTCTAATATTACAAAAGATGTGAACAAATACCAGGGTATAAAAGAGGATAAACTGTTCAAATAATATTACATCTCTGGTAATATACATGATACGTACCTATTAACATTTGCATTCGCCCAAATCACAAGGAGCATCGGGGAGTAACCGTAGCGATCGCGATTCAAGAAATAAACGAGCCGCCGGTTTGCAAAAAGGAATAATCGTATGCTATTACTCTCGGGAAATATCTTTCGCCACGTTCAAAGCGAAAACCTTGGCAAAGTAACGAGAGCGTTCCCAGCGAAACGAAGTAACTCATTATAGTATACGGGCTGCTATTTTTATTCGCGCGAGCCTTCAATCCGATGAATTATTTCAGACAAGCGCATTCCGGGCGATGCGAGAAATGGAACATTTTAAAGAGAAAGAGCAATTAAAATTAATTTATCGGATCCGGAAGTCAATATCGAATTCATGGGGGAATGAGGGCTCTTGCGTTTCCGTCAATGCACGATGCAATATATATATAAATAACGGCGATTGCAAAATGATATTTATTTCTTTCGCTATCGTTTATAACAGCGTGATATTTTTTTCCTTTTTTTTAACTGAGTGCAACAAAGATACGAATGAGCTAGTTTTTTGTTCAGTATAGCTATCGAATTTACTGAAAAGTTATGTAGTGAAATATACACACACACACATACGTATTGGACGCACTGTATAATTTGATGAAAAAACAATTCGTTCGATCACTGATAAGATTTTTCGCCATTCACAACTTCGCACCTCACATGAACGGATGATCGATACATTCCCTCGAGCTTTAGACCAGTAAACATCCAATGAATTTTTATGTAAGGCTCGCCTATAGAAAATGCGTAATTTTATTTGTACACGCTTAATAGCGCCTTGAAAATATATACCACCATAAGTTTCTATCGCCTCTCCGGATGTTCTTTCGTAGCCGGCTTTCGCCGGCTTGGAAATGTGCTGTCGGCACTGAAAATTCTATAAAGAAAATCATTAAGGCCTCTGGCGTTTCTCAGCAGCCGCTATCGCCGAGGAAACGAACTTTGGCGGCGATAAAATCTCCGATTGATTTTGCGACTTTCGCCAGTGGCGTGCACGGTGGCACATCGAGGAAAATCGAAGCTTGAGAAATTGTATTCGCTCAGCTTAGCGGGGTTAGGTCTTGCGGGTCTAACGCGTTTGCCAGATTACCTCTCGTCTCTTATAACAGACGTAAGATGCAAGGGACGGCCGGTGATGGTGGCAAACCGCAATAGAAACAGCAGCAGCAACAGTTGAGGAAGATTGCTGACCGGCAAGCAGCGTCCAGGCACGCGCAATAACTCGAGAAAAAAATACCGCTTCGTCTTCGTTTAATCCGTTGTCTTTTACTCCGCGCCGGCTTATTCGCTCCGGCCAGATCGAATAGCTAGCAGGTGAGATAAGGCGTTGAACAAAAGGGCGCAGCGGCCGGGCCGGCGAAGGGACGACGCCGCGAATGCCTCGGCACCTATCTCGTTTATACAGCTTTCTATGCGCACCGACCTACTGGCTAGCGAAAAAGGCGGCTCGGGAATAATAGTCAGCGCTTCGGCAAGCAGAATCTCGCATAATTACGCGGAGCACCGCTGCGTCACGCACACGCTTAGCATATCATATCGCGCGTTTGTCGATGCTGTTCGCGGATAATAGTGGACGCACTCGAAATGCCCCGTTCGCGACGCGACAGGTTAAAAATATATCTTCGGGCTCGCGATTAATATCGGACTTGCATTATGGGCGAGTTGCAACGCGAGATATGAAGCGAAAACACGCGCTACGCACGACTCGCACGACGCACGAGCAAAAAATTGTTAGAGCCATCCTCATGAAGCGTAAGGCCCCGATAAGGCTAAAAGTAGGATACCCTGAAAAGGGATATCTCATTATTACCACATCAGGCCGCGAGATGGATTTTTTAGGAACACCTTAGATTTTACGAAATAAGGCATTGATAGGAAAAACTGAGAAGAGCCTTAGAAGGATTTTTAAGGGATGCCTTAGAACTAATAAATAAGGCTTTGATAGAGGAAAAACTGATAAGGGTCTTGGAAGAATCCAGTAGGGATGCCTTAGATTTTACGAAATAACGCTTTAACATAAAAAACTGATGTGAGCCTTAGAAGAATCTTAAGAAAGAGAGGATTGCTCTAGATATACAAAATCAAGTTTTGTTATAGAAAATTAATAAGATCTGAAGCATATAATAAAATTGTCATTGTTTAATATTGTTTTAGCAGGTACGCTCTACCCGAGCAAAAAATTGTTAGAGTCATCCTCATGAAGCATAAGGCCCTGATAGGGCTGAAAGTAGGATGCCCTAAAAAAGGATATCTCATTATTACCACATCAGGCCCCAAGGTGGATCTTTTAGGAATATCTATAGGTTTTACGAAATAAGACTTTGGGGAAAACTGAGAAGAGTCTTAGAAGGATTTTTAGGGATGCCTTACATCTAATAAATAAGGCTTTGATAGGGAAAGCTGAGAAGGGCCTTAGAAAGATTTTTAAGGGATGCCTTAAATCTAAAAAATAAGGCTTTGGTAGCGAAAGCTGAGAAGAGCCTTAGAAGGATTTTTTTAGGGATGCCTTAGATTTTACGAAATAATGCTTTAACATGGAAAACTGCTGTGTGCCTTAGAAAGATCCTTTAAGAATACTTTAAATATACAAAATCAAGTTTTGTTATAGAAAATTAATAAGATTTGAAACGTGTAATAAAACTGTCATAGTTTAGTATTGTTAGTATTGTTAGTATTGTTAGTAAGTATGCTCTCTATCTAGTTCTTTTAAAGATTTTTCTAATTATACCGTAATTAAAAACACATTTTATTAGTTGCCATATTCATTAGTTTCTTCTAAGGATTTTTCTAGTATTGCCTTCGTTTTGAAACGCAGCAAATTTTAATAAAAACAGTAGCAGGATTTTTACGTGTAAAGAATGGTATATTTTATTGTAAAGTATGCTATATTTTTAAAATAAAAAGTTCTTGTTGTATACTAACAAGGTTATAAAGAAATAAAGAAATTACAATCTAAATTTCTCGGAATGAAAAGAATATTTTCACGAATATTTTTACTCAAGCAATAATAATATAAGGCCCTCATAATATTGCCTTATAAGGACCGTTAAACCATTTGTTACACATTTTGCAGGGCCCTTGTCTTTCTATTCCTACTGCAGGGCCCGATTAATGTTAGGGATCAATAATCAGGCTCTTACCAAAGCCCTATTAATTTTTCTACTCGGATCCCGGCAGCGCTGAAATCATCGATCTCGTTGTTGCGCGCGAATTAGTAACGATATCGGCGCGAAGCACCAGCCGATTAACATTATCGGTTATTCGTCAGCGTTCTCGAGCATCTTTGATCGTCCGATATCGGCTTTGCCGGCGTTAATCGCGATCTGGACACGATGCGCGCACCGCATCATCCCCGTGCATACAATAATTTACGCGTAATTGGTATAATTTGGATAACTCGCGCTATATCAAATTGTGCCGTGTAAACATGCGCGCGTGCGTGCGCGCACATAGTCGGTGACTCGATAATTATGTATTTGTAAGCATATATATATATATATATATTATATAAATATAAACGCGCTCGCGCGTTTCCAAGCGGATTCGACGGTTTCGACGGGGCGCGCTAAGGGACGTTTGAAGCGGGATTTCAGCGCGCGCGAGTCGCAACAACTCGGGCTGCTTGAGGATAGTTTGCATTCTAACGTAAATATTGTACGCGTACAATATACGTGCGCAGACCGGAAATCCGTGCCGCAGAATCGCACAGGTGAGATTAGTCGGGTATGCGCCACGCGGAAGAGGCCGAACAGATTTGCGGGAGCCGGCAAGGCGAGGCGAAGCGAGGGCGCGGACTTCCGCGCCGTTTTCTCACAGGTAATTTTATCGGTCTAAAATGAGTGATCGAATGGGAGATACTCGGCCGGCGGCGCTTAACAAGGGAAACGACGGGGTAATGACGGGGGATAGCTTAGGAGATAAGTGAGATTTACTTAGAAATCTCTCCGTGGGATCTATCCCTCTGCGCGGCGCGCCGGTCGGTCTTCCTTTTAATGCTCGTCCAGCTGAATTTTTTATCTCGGAAGCACAAAGATAAGGTGTCTTTGACGTGGGCCCTGAGTAAATAACCGGGATTCCGAGCGGATCATCTCGCGTTGAACGAATATCTCGGGAGGACCTGAATTTACGTCGCCGGACGAGCGACGGCGACGGCGTCGTGCGCGCGCGATTGTTAAAAGAATACTTGACAATGCGGTCGCTTAGGGTCCCTCGCGCGCATGGAGCAGGAAGAAGGTTTCCTCTTCGTCCACGGGGGGAAGGGAGACAGGTGCGGCGGGGCAGGACAATGGTCGTCTCGCGAATCGCCGATGTGTTTCCATCGCTACCGTTGAAAACAAGTGACTTCGAGCGTAATGCGTTTAATCATCAAGCAGTGCTCGACGAATCGCGCTCTCCTTCGTACGCCACTTACCATCCATTCTCACTCTCCTCTCGCGGTTACTCCTCTCCTCTCGCGCCGCTCGCGACGCCTCACGTTGATGGCGCCTCACCGAAGAACGCGGAAATATCGCGAGAACTCTGAGGAAAGTGGCGGGAATAAGGAACCGTGACTCTCTCTCTCTCTCTCTCTCTCTCTCTCTCTCCCCCCCTCCATTTTCTCCCTCACCCTCTTTCACTCTCTGTGGCTCTTTCTTCTCCACTCCTTCACCTCTCCCTCTCGTTCAGAAATCTCCCGCGAGCCCCGGACAATCCGGGTGGGTCGGTACGCCACGACGGACGGCAAGCGCTTTTGTGCCCCGGGGGAATGTCGCCCGGGAGCGGGGGAGGAGAGAGGGACCGGCGGAGCCGTGAGAGGCGAATCCGCGCAACGACGTCGGCGTAATTGTGTAACTTGGTGGTCGCGACGTACGAAACAATAACCGCCGGCAAATCGCATCAAACAATACCACGGCAGATTGCATCTTCCCGGGCGCGATGTGCTGGCGCGCGCGCACGCGTTTCCTTTTTTCGCGCTGATCTCCTTTGTCGTCGGTCCTTGAGTCGACTTTGCCGGGTCCTCCCGACAAATAACTGGGCGCCTCTATCGTGCCGCGACATCGTGATTGTCAAAGACTACCGCCCTCGGTGAATCGCGCGCCGGTGAAGCGTGCGTAGGAGAGACGGCGGGTGAAACGCGTTATCGGCTACAGAAACGATTACGTCTCTTGACGCGCGCGCGAGTCTCGAACGCGAGGGAGGGCGAAAACGGAAAGAGAGACAGCGGCAGACAGAAACAGGGGCGCGCGAAAGGGTCCTCGACGAGAGCAAAATGTCCTTTCCTATCGCTTTCTGATAACCTCTGGGGGACGCCGCCCTCGTGATAAAAAAGAAGAACGTCTTCGCGATAATAACACGAGGAGGGGGGGCCGGGGATAGGAGGCGGAAAATTCTCATATGCGCACATTCGCTGGTCACTGTGTGATCGAATTTACGTGAGCATCGTACGACATGCCGAATATCATCGACGCGAGAATAGGGATGCCGATTTTTTCTCATACAGATCGATTTAAAGATCGATTCGAATCACGGAGAAAAGAATCGATCTTTAAAAAATCGGTTTGTAAAGAATCGATTTCAGCAAATCTATTTGAATCGATATGCATGTATAGAGTGCCACCACTGATTAAGATTAAAGTATACCATCCGTCCAATTTCTCCTCTCTAAATGAGACCTCATGTAATTCATATAAAGTTTAATATGAATTAAAGAAATTAAACACATAGTACTCTTTTGGTTGTGTTGTGTGTGTGGCCAGAACAAGGTAGAAAAAGATCTTTAAATCTTCATGCTAAGGATTTAATTAGTTTGATTAAACGTCAATCAAGAGTTATTAAATAAGAAACCACATTTACTATTATATACATATGTACACAATGTATACTATTATATGGAGTGGCTGTGATTGGTTTCGTTTCGCGCGTTCCGTTCCGCTGAAAATTTTCGTTCATGTGACATCGGCCTAAAGGCAACGTAATGTGCATTGCGCAGCCATTGAGTAAGTTTAAATGTTACAACTAAAAGAATTAGAAAAAGCTATATTACTAGTAGAAACTGAAAAAATCGTTTTGGCGATTTTCAAAACTTACAGATCGATCCTTGAATCGATGCAGTCCCAGAAAATCGATTTGAAATCGATCTTCTAGGCTTTCATTAATCGATCTTCGATTAAATCGATTTAAAAGCAGCGTCTCAACCGGACGGACAATCGCGGTTATGTTTCAAAGTTCAAGCGGTCGCCCAGGTGAATTTTCCAGGTTGAAGAATCAATCCGTACGTGCCAGGTTTTGTATGCTCTCTATAAAATAGCCCTGTAATATTCAGATTATCTGCGAAGAACATACATATGCAATGTTATATATTCTGTTCGTCGAAGGTGGAAGCTACATGAATTATTCTGTCGCCGATGTCACCAGCGATTGCAATCCGTTATCGGCAGTGCGTCGCATTAGTATTACAATGATAACGCAAAATATTGTTTAACGTTATTTTGAAGGTCGGTTAGTTCTCATTGGCACGCGAAGATACACGTCGCGTGACCTTCGACTTGAAATTGACACATCGGTAGCACGCCGCTCGCATCAGTCATATTTATGCACAAGCGGCGAAATTAGTTGTGAGAAATTTCAGCAGGACAAAAATCCGCTTTAAATTGTAACCGTAGGATTGGTTGTTTTTTCTCGGCTGTATTGTAGATTTCGCTGTACGTATCGCTGTACGTAAAGCTAAATTTCAACGAATAATTTTCCTGCAAAACACGTCCCGTTTGAAGATTTGTTATCTAAGTTGCCATTTTCCATGAAGCTTTCGCGTCGTTTCTATCTTATAATCATCAAATATGTCGTTGTGCTAGACTCAGACGAGCGGTTAGCACTATAACAATACAATTATTTAACGCGACATCGCGTTTCATTCGCGACAGCCATTTTATCGGCGACAGCAGTATGAAATTAAACTTTTACGGTCTGAACGTTGCAATTGCGCGCAGTGTTACTCGTACGGCCGACGACGAGCAGCAATTTGCTATAAATTTTCCAATCCTTAATGGAACGTGCACGGGAATAACGGGGGAAGGCTAATTAATCATTAGTTTGTCAACAGTTTATTCATTGTTGCATATAAAGATCTCTTAAATATTTCAGAAAGGTTAATGAATGATAAAAAGTCGTTACAACAGTACCGATAGTATATAAACTGATGTATTTAGTTACCCGATTTCGTAGTACCACACTTGATCCGCTTAATATTTTCGTCTGACATAATACGACGTATTTTGAACGCAAAACTTTGCATTTTGTCTCGGTTGTTTCTGATAATGACAATCAGTAATAGCAATCGATGCGACACAAGTATAATATGCAACTTATTTACCACATCATAAATAAATATATTATACGCCATTCATTATACATCAGACAGAAAGGTAATTTTGAATATTCATGCTTGCAAACGTTATATTCGTTCGGCTTGATTTAAGTAAGATACAGTGGCGTGCAAAAGTTTCGAGCCATAGTGTCTTTTTAAGATACATGACAATATATTGATTTGCTCTAAAAATTAATTATATAAAATAGTTGATATAACATTCTTACAAATAAAGGTACAAAAAAGAGTACAGTTACAAAATTTCGAAATTACATAGTTTCTAATTATTTAGTTATATAATATTTACATGTGTTCAAAGGTATTGAGCCGTGTTCTTGTTGTGACTTTATGAGCCCGATTTCTTTACGTTTCTTATGAAACTCCTTCGTAAATTTGTTTTAACTAAGTTTCAGTCTATTGTCTACCGCAATGCCAAAATATACAAGCCTTCAGTTACGCAAAGCCGTGATTAATCTTTCTCAACAAGGAAAGGTTTCTCGCGAAATTGCTGATTGTTTATTAATTGATAAAAGTACTGTAAATAGGATTATTGCTAAATAATATAAGTTGACGAACTCTCTAACTGATAAACCACGAAACGGTAGACCTTGCAAAACTACAAAGCGCGTCGATAAAATGATTAAAAGAAAGTTGATAGCAGATGTTAGAAAAACTGCCATGGATATTTCTCGAGAACTACGAAAAGAAAATCTTGCTGATATTAGTCGAAGTACAATATCTCGACGTCTAAAGGAAGTAGACCTTTTAGGACGTGCTGGCCTAAAAAAACCATTAATTAGTGCAAGAAATAAGAAAACTCGATTAGATTTTGCAAGGAAATTTGAACATTGGACTGAAGTTGATTGGCGAAAAGTACTTTTCTCTGACGAGTCAAAGTTCCAGTTATTCGGAAGTGACGGCAGAAAGTATATACGACGTCCAACAGGCACAAGATATAATTCAAGATACCAAATTTCTACCGTAAAACATGGTGGAGATAACGTGATGGTTTAGGGATCATTTTCTTATAATGAAGTTGATCCATTGGTTGAGATCACGGGTACTATGGACGTTATACCATAATGTATCGAGATATATTGATACAGCATATGCTGCCATATGCAACTCGAAACATGTCACGTGGTTGGATTTTCCAACAAAATAACGATCCCAAATATTCATCAAAACTAATAAAAGAATTTTTTATCGTGAAAAAAATGCGAGTTCTTGACTGGCCCTCGCAATCGCCGGATTTGAATTCTATTGGGCACTTGTGGCAAGAATTCAAACTACGTACAGGAAATAAGAAACACTCCAATAAAGCTGAATTGTGGCAAGATTTGCAAACTCAATGGCAAAATTTACCTCAAGATCGCATTTCTAATTTAATAGTATCAATGCCTTGCCGTTGTGTTGCAGTGATTGTTTCTAAAGGCATGGCAACAAAGTATTAAGTTTAAAAAAACATTTTCTGTTATTATTTTTCAATAATATTGGGGACTTGAATAAGTTTTATATATATGTGTAAAGTTTTTAGCGCTCATTATGAAATGAATATATAATAATAATTGTGTGGCTCAAAAGTTTTGCGCGTCACTATATGTGCTCCGAAGTACAACACAATGAAATGAGATCGTAACAACAATTTCTGAGCCGAAAAACGACGTCTTATAAGCCAAATTAAATCTAACATAATAATTTATAACAGAGTTGTCTAATTAGACCAAATAATTGCGAACGCGTTACGTTTTGTGTCTTTTTTTATACGAGAGAAGATACAGAAAGAAAGAAAAAGAGAGAGAGAGAGGGAGATCAATCGCTCACGCATGTTTTATTAGATGTATAAAAGTTAAATAACTTCGTTACATATCAATAAGATATAACAAAACTGGAAATACAGGAAAAATATGAAAACAATACAGATGAAGACGAAAAATTCATACGAAATTCTAAGAAAAAAAAGATTAAAAGCGAAACATATGTTGAAGTGTTATTGAAATATTGAACGCATTCGGGCACAATTGTGATTAATTGCGCTACGTTAACGTTAAGTAGTTTTTTCCTTAATATTAATTACCTTTCTCGTGTAGAAACATTTCATTGTGATTTTTAACAGTTTATACATAAGCACCAACGAGCACACTGATATTACAAACGTAGCGATCGATAAGACTGCTATAACGTCCATGTCGTACCTCTCGTACCAAGGATCATGTTTGATACTGGTGTGAAGATGAGAAACATCCTTGTGACGAATCACATACTCGATCCACCAAATTACATGATTCAGCATGTCGTAAGGCTTATCATTGCTCAGTACCTTAACATTGAGCATTCTCTGTTTGTATCTGAAAAGAATAGACAAAAGTTGATGCGTCTTGGAAATAATTAACAGTTATTCCTTAATTGTGCCTTAACTTTGAGCACGTGAACTACTTAATATGCATGTAGGAATGGCCGTCATCGAGTCCGTATGTTACCTGTTGGTCGACATTCTATAGCCAGAAAGTTTTTGTTTTTTCAAAAAATGCGATGACTAAGAAGCGCGCGAGCGAATATGGCGTGCAGGTACAGTTGGTCGTTAGATAAGATATAGCGTACATTATTTAACGGATTATACTTTTATATTTAACCTTCTTCATTGGGAAATTACGTATGCCAGATATATTAATACTCGGGAGTCAAAATTGTTCAGCACGTCTGAGGCTTGTGATACGCGTATATATTTTTCTATTTTTTATTCTATCTAAATGCGTTTTCATTTAAATTATATTTCAATACAGAAGATTAAAATTTCTACACACACACACACACACACACACACACACACACATATATATATATATATATACATACATATATATATGTATGTATATTTCGATGATAGAGAAATGATATTACCTTTTATCTGTTAAAATATCCATTATAGATGTGTTCAGTTTCTTTACCGAAAAATTAGTAATATCCAGACTTTTTGCGACGCCAAGAGATACCATTCTATTTACATTAGAGTACTGATCGGACAACATTGGTATCCCTAAAAGTGGCACTACGTGATGGGTAGCCTCTTGCGTGCTTTGAAATCCGCCTTGATACACGAACAGTTTAATGTTCGGATGAGCTGGGAAGAACAAGAGACTGAATAAGAAATGATACGACTAGCGAACGTGGTTACGTGAAAATATGTTTGTATGATTTTTCATCACGATTGTGTCTCGACTTACCGAGAATGCTCTGTTGAGGGAGCCACGTAGCGGTGAAAATATTGTCAAATTTGTCTGGCAATTGTCCATTAAATTTCCACACTATTTTATACGGCAAACTTGCAAACACTTCGTAGAATACACGTAGCACATATGACGGAAAGGACGTCATTTTTACGTTTGTGCCTAGACTCACATAGATGAATCCATTCGGCGCGTCGTCCAGAAATTGTTGCAAATCCTGAAACAAGACGATTGTGCGGCATCTATTCTGAGAGAGAAATGCCATCGTTTGAGGCGTTGCGCAATAATTACGTTTGGCAATGGTGCGGGATTCTTCATTATATGTAAACCTCCGAATTGTATCAGATTCGGTGGTAGTGGTCTGACGAACGTGGTAATCTCCTCTTGATTGACCAACATAATACTCATATTCTTCTCCATTTCATTTACATTAGGTATACCTTTGCCCAAGTATTTTTCCGCTATTGCTTGCTGTCGCTGCATATAATGGTTAAGTACGTAATGTATATATCGCCACAGTCGAAAAAAGTTCTTTATCCTGCCCCACAATGACAGATTAAAACCTGTAGTATACTCCATTTCCCAAGTCGAAGGATGCGATGACAAAATGGGTGCACCGAGATGATAATACGATCCACTTTGCAACGGTAACGATGATATACCTACAAACGAATGCAAAAGTATAGTACAAAGAATGTGCGACTCTCGAAGCGAGGTACGCGTTTCTAAATTTGTGCAAAAACTGTTTATTTTCAGACAGAAGAGTGTATGTAAATTTGGTGGCAACTATATTCGTCATTGTGTAAAGGTTATGCTTCTTACGAGTTCTTTATATGATGCGCGTATTTAGAATGACCAAATGAAAGTACAGATAAAATTATCACAGATTTTATTTGCAGTAACATATCGTATAGAAAATGTGTCCTGCCTGACGACAGGCTTTTTTATTGTTTAGGACGACTGCGCCGAATTGTCGAACAGACTCAATATTCAATTCAATACTGATGCGCAGTGTATACAATAAATTGCCATAGCGACTCTTACCAATTAGAGGGGCATTAAATCTATGCGCCAGAGCATAGAGACCATGTGACCCTATTATTTCAGCAAGTACTACGTCGAATTTTTCGCCGCTATTCGGTGCGTACAGTTTACGTACTTTCGGATGTTTGAAGATTTCCTCTACTGTTATCTGCATATTGTGCTCTAAAATATCCTGTACTAGGCTCGGCCAATTATGGGTGAATCTTAATTTGGCAAAATCCACTTTCTTAAATATGTTTACTTGAGTGTATATATGTCGGAAATCAATCTGCGTCAAATTCGTCAAGCTCGGGTCATCGATCGGATTCGTCGTGAAGAGAACGACTTGGTGTCCTCGTCGACTGAGAGTGGCCCATATCGGATGAAACGCTATTTCGTGACTATAGGACGGCACTGCGACCATCGCCAAGATCCTCGCACCTTCCGTGAGTCTAACACCGCTCAGGAAATTCGTTAGCCAGAATCCGAGAGATATTGCAGTGAACTTCATTGCGCCCCCGATGTGATGGGTAATGTAAGCAGTTACGATGTTGATGATATCCGGGTCGAGCGTCTTTGCGGAGACGGCAAAATACAGGTCGACGATATAGAAATTATTTTATATTTTTATCGATATATTGGTTCTTCAACTATCCAAGCATCAACTGAATATTCGTATGTCTGATGACAAAGAAACGGTGTAAACTGTAAAGTAACGACACAGCTGTGCAGTGTTAAATAATACCGTGTGTCCTCACACTCTATCACTCACTGCTGCGCTTTGATTCGCGGAAGTCTAAATTTCATCGTGACTGTGGATAACGTGCGCATCACGGCGCCAACACAAGTCAACTGTCACTTTTTGCCAATATAAAGACGTTTTTCGTGTGCTTTTTTCCTCCTCGTATTATATGCGAGCTGTATATGTATATATATTTCTATGTATCTTTCTACGTGTTTTCTATATGAACATGCGATAAACACCTATTAATATTGCATAGAAATGTCGTATGCGTACTTCTTACCGATGGACTTTACGATTTAGATGCAGCGGATACCTTTCTGCACGTTAAATGCGCATTATTATATATCGTTTTACAGGGTTACAAAAGTGTGGAAACCATTAAATAATTTTTGTAAAAATGAAAATATCAAAAAACGATAAAACACATATTTTGATTTTTCAAAAAAACTACCCTATGACATGGATACCGATCATTTCTCACTTCCTAATACGTGGGAATAAAAGGGGGAAAAATGAAATTGGACTAAGGATCGAGTGGGGGCTCATTTTCAAGGTCTTTTCATAACAAACACACAATTAAAATTTTAAGTCACTACGACCCCCCTATTAATAATGGTGGCCGTTCAAATTTCGAAATTTCATGCACTTAGTGTTATCCAGTATCAACCGGCTACTTAAAATCAGTTGTTCTCACTGCTACTTAAATTCAGTTGTTCTCACGGCTACTTAAAATCAGTTCTCACATCTTAGACAGATCTTAGGCAGATTAAAAATTAAATATTTTAAGAATGGCTGGCGAATTGTCGGAACGTGAAAGAATCACTATCCTCATTATGTGTGGATAGGATGATAACGAGCGGTCGTACGTTGCTGTCGCTCAATTATTTAATGAGACGTATCCGAATCGTCGAATTAATAAGTCCACTGCCTTAAAAACAATGGAACGTTTCAGAGAAACTGATAGCGTAAACAATCGCCCTAAATCAGGGAGACCTGCCATTAACGAAGAAAAACAACTTGATGTTCTGCAGACATTTATTGAAGGTCCCAATTCTACTATTAACAGAGCCGCTCAAACTCACGATATTGCTCCCAAATCCGTTTGGAGAATTTTAAAGAAAAACAAGTTCCATCCATATAAATTACAATATGTTCAAGAATTGCAAGACGGAGATGTGGAGCGTCGTATAAGTTTCTGTGAAAGAATGATGGCACTAATAGATGTCTGGCCCATGTTCCCTTATCAAATTGTTTTTACAGGCGAGGCAACTTTCACGTTAACGGGAGAAGTTAATAATCAAAATTTTCGTTTCTGGTCAGATGAGAATCCGAATTGGGTGCGGGAAACACACAATACTCACAAAAAATAAATGTATGGTGTGTAATAATAAATGGCTACTTAATAGGACCGTTTTTTTTCTTTTGAAGAAAATCTGAACGCTCAAACGTATGACAGATTGCTTGTAGATCAAATAATTCCAGCCATACGAAATATTTTTCCATAATAATTTCGAAGAAATATGGTTTTAGCATGATGGAGCTCCTACTCATTTTGGTTTAGGACCACGTCAAATTTTAAATGAGACTTTTCCATTACGATGGATAGGAAGAAGAAACAGAAATGAAGAAGGAGAGGATTGGCCATCTCGGTCACCAGATCTAACTCCTCTTGATTATTATCTATGGGGACACCTGAAGAATAAGGTTTACAAAACAAAACCTGAAAGCATCCAAGAATTGATACAGCGAATAAGGGATGAAATAGATTTGATACCTTTTGAGACGAATCGTAGAGCCATTTCTGCATTCTATCAAAGATTGGCATATTGTCAGGAAGTAAATGGCAGCCACTTTCAGCATTTACTTTAACACACTGAGTAAAATTTATTTTAAATCACGGAGTAAAAGGTTTTGAATCATTAAAAAGAGATGACAGTTTTCAATCGTCTGTTTTGCAACCTATCACGACCTTTCATACAACACATTCACACTTGTTTAGCCACACGCACGGACACACATACATAGGAACGCACGCACGCACGCACGCACACACACGCACACGCACGCACACGCACGCACGCACAAGCACACGCACGCACGCACACGCACACGCACACGCACACGCACACGCACACGCACACGCACACGCACACGCACACGCACACGCACACGCACACAAGGGATCAGATTCATGCCACTTCCACGCAGTTGATCCTGGATAACACTAAATGCATGAAATTTCGAAATTTCAACGGCAGCCATTTTTAATGGGAGGGTCGTAGCGACTTAAAATTTTAAGGGTGTATTTGTTATGAAAAGACCTTTCAAATGAGCCCCCACTCGACCCTTAGTCCAATTTAAAATTTTCAACCCCCATTTTACCCCCGCGTACCAGTGGGTGGGGAATGATTAGTATCCATGTCATAGGATAGCTTTTTTGAAAAATCAAAATACATGTTTTACCGTTTTTGGATATTTTCATTTTTACAAAAATTATTTAAGGGATTCCACACTTTTCACAAACCCTGTATACCCCTTGATTGATCGCATATAAACAAAGTGATACAATTATAAGATTGAAAACCCGCAATTATTGTAGAAAATAATATTTTTTTCCTTTCGAAGCAATTAGAGTTACTTCGCCAAATATATATTTTTTTAGTGTAATTTTATCAATATGCAAATTACAATACATATTCTTCTGCAGAGATAATTCGAATCTTACGTATTTAGGACGAGACGTGTATGTATGTATGTATATTAGATTTTAATGATGCAAAAATATATGATACGATAGATAATGAATTAATGTGAACAAATGAATTAAATTTCTGACGAAATATCTATTTGAGATCAACGTAATGAGTCAAGATGATGTAATTACACATTAGCTTTGATATGTAAAATAATTACTAAAATTCTTTTATTAATTTTTTCGTAAAAAGATAGGTATTAATACATTATATCTTGACATTGTAATAATTTTCAGACCTTTCGGAGAGTTTGACAATAATGTAATCGACATCATTACCACATAACATAATAAAATATTTAATTTGCACTAAGTCATTTTATATTCAAAGATTACTCAGAATGAAATACTTTAGGCTGTCGTGCAGTAAATGATGAAAAAAAAACTTTGAAAAATGAAAACAGCACCTTGTGATAAGAGAAATTCTATTTATAATCATCGATAACAGATATGTAAAAATAATATAAACTAACCGTATAAATATATATGTAGTCATATAAATGCAAATATTTATCGTTGCAGTTGATAACTGTTGCTAATGTGATGAGTATAAATAAAAGAGAATGCATAATATATTCGTGCACATTTACAGTCCACGCCGATCAAGAGGCACGATAGTGCCTCGCGCCAAGTTCAAGCGCAACGAAGTTGCGCCCAAACGGCGCGAGGCACACCGTGCCTATTATACGCGAAACTGTGAGTTGAAACGAGGTGAGATATTTATATCTCAGCAATGGCTGAACCGATCGAGGTTTTTTTAGTCCCAATCAATTCGGTCTTAAAAAGTAGGAAGAAAATGTTGTTGTGATTTTTGTGTACGTTGTCTCTAAGTGGAACTATTTTAAGTAAAAGTCCGAATCACGGAAAATTTCGATTCAGTAAGAAAGTAAGAAATTTCGGACGCATAAGAGTAGGGATATGTGCATCTCGCTTTTCCGACACCAGGGGCGCTACGAGAGCGCTGAACAAGCAGACAGCAGCGAATGCGAGCGTGTAAGCGAGGGATATGCTATAGAATACAATATAAGACAAGAATATAAGACGAGAGAGAAAGTGAGATAGAAGAGTGAGAGAGAGAGAGAGAGAGAGAGAGAGAGAGAGAGAGAGAGAGAGAGAGAGAGAGAGAGAGAGAGAGAGAGAGAGAGAGAGAGAGAGAGAGAGAGAGGATGAAGAAGAGTGTGAAGGAGTGAGAGAGTGAGGGAGTGGGAGAATGAGAGAGTGAGATAGTGTAAGATATACGTATACACATACGTACATACATACAATACATTCGTACATACACACGTACATAAATACATACGTACTACGTACATACGTATCTACATAGATAGATATGTACGTATGTACATACGTACATACATACGTACATATATACATACATAGGTATATACGTATGTACATACGTACACACGTATATAAATACATACATACGTACATATAAATGTTCATACATACGTAAATATTTACGTACATACGTACATACGTACGTTCAGATGTGCGTAAATACTTACGTATATACGTATATACATATGTACATATATATACGTACATACGTACATAAGTATATTTTAGGTATTGTACGCGTCCACGTCTACGTGTACGACAATATTTGCGAATCGCTTAGCTTTTTCCAGCATTTGTGTCTCTTGGTATATATGTTTATATATTCGTAATAACATACATATACACGTATATTATTATGAGAGAAGAGTGAGAGTGAGAGAAAGAGAGAGACCATAATAAATCGATATTTATGACTTACAATAATCGAAACTGAAAAAAGAAATGTCAAAATAGATAGTGCCCTACTATAATTATTAACACATAATATTCATACGTTAGATATAATTTATTGCACACGACAAAGAGAGAGGAAAGAGAGAGAGAGTGAGAGAGAGAGAGAGAGAGAGAGAGAGAGAGAGAGAGAGAGAGAGAGAGAGAGGGAGAGAGAAAGAGAACGGGAAAGAGAGAAAGTGAGAGTATGTATGTATGCATGTATGTATATATATGTATGTATATATATATATATGTATATATATATATATATGTGTGTGTATATACATATATATATATATGTGTATATATATATATATGTGTGTGTGTGTGTGTGTGTGTATATACATATATATATATATGTGTATATATATATATATGTGTGTGTGTGTGTGTGTGTGTATATATATATATATATATATATATATATATATATATATATATATATATATATATATACACTCATGTACATATACATATACATATATATGTATATAAATATATATATATATATTTTATTATTTCATTGTATATGTTATATGTATATGTATATACATACCCTGTCACTTAACTCTTTCATAAAATATATT